TATTTCTTGTTTTAAGCCATTGAGTTTTGGGATCATTTGTTTCAAACCATTATTGTGGTAATGGTTGATTAATAAAGAGCTCTGTTGGTGTAGTATTTAAGGCATTTGGCTGCTAACCAAAAGGTCAGTGGTTCAAAGCCATCAGCCGCTTCATAGAAGAAAGATGGAGTAGTCCACTTCCGTAAAGGTTTACAGCCTTGGAAACCTAATGGAGGTCGCTATGAGTTGGAACTGATTTGATGGCAATAAGCTTTTTTTTTTTTTCAGTTTGGAGTTGATTAATATATAATCATACATGGATCATATATGAAAAATACAATATAGTAAGAATACTAGGTCAAATGTATTTTGCTTTAATCTCAGGTTGGCATTTTAAATAATTTAGTAGCTTGAAAACCCAACAAGAATATTATAGGGAGCTCTGGTAGCATAATGCCTAAGGTACCTGACTGCTAACCAGGAGGCTGGCGGTTCAAACCCACCAGCCACTCCTCGGAAGGAAGGTTGGGCAATCTATTTCTGTAGTGATCCTGCCTCGGAAACCCAAGGAGGGGTCACTATGAGTTGGGTCTGACTCGACGGTACATAACAACAATAAGGTAGCCAGAGTCACTCTGTTAGTTGCAAATAAAAACTTTTAAAGGGCCACAGGCATTGCTTTATCCCGAGTCTGATTATAATGCTCCTATTAATTTTCCCAGGGATCCTGTTCTTGCCACTAGCATAGCCTGTATTTTTCAACCATTATATCTTTCACTGGCTGACTGCTCATTTTCTCTCTTAAAATGAGAGGGTCTTGAAAGCAGGAACTGAGTCTAATTCAACTCTCTTCAGTACTTAGGAAAATTGGAACAATGTACAAATGAATTAACAGACATGAAGACTATCAGAGCCATACATCATCATTTTCATCATGAAAATTGCCGACCTTAATTGAGCTCTTATTCTGTGTAAGCAATCCACAAAGCATGCTACATTCATTGTGTCGTGTACCCTCATGACACATTAGCTTTATAACATAGACACTATTGTCATCCCATTTTATAAATGAGGCAATATTGGATCATTAAACATAAGGAACTTGCTTAGTGACACACAGGTAGTTGACAGCAGAGCCAGATATCCAAAACAGGCTGGACTCTAGAGCCTGTGCTCATAATCAATTACTTAAAACAGTTTATCTCTCAGATAGAGATTCGATGAAATTTCTTAGGAAATTTGTAACAATTCCTGACCCATTCCTAGAGAAGTGAAATTGGAGTAAAATTACACATCGTGTGGATGAGGAAGGAGTGGGACTACCAGCGTTACAGATACTCTATCCTTTGACAGAAATAGGAAAGACTGTAGGTTTGGGGTGAAAGTTCACCTACCCTCTCTGTTGAATGCCATTAGTACTTCTGCTTCTTTTAAAGTCTAGGGATAAAGGTGTACGAAAAGGAAAATGGCTACATGACCCAGTGAGATGGGAACACTGAGCTCATTGGCCAAAGCCAGCTTATAAGTGAGGAGGAAACTTCAACAAGCAAGAATTTTACCTCTACTTTATAGCAAGAGTGATAGATGTCCACAGAATCACAATAATCCCCAGCTACCCAACATACACCCAAGGTTGGTAGAGGATGGTCTGAGTGGCCAGAGTGGTGGGGAGAAAACACTGTCTGAGAGAAGACAAAAGAGACAAGAACATCCTGATAGTAGAATGAACACCCCAAAAGATGATAATGGAAATGACCTCATTTGAGTAGCCTGCAGAAGCTCATGACAACACAATGTGGAATACTAAGAGAAGGTGCAACATAGTGTCAATACACATTTAAGTTTGCCTTTTGTGACAGGCTGATTTTTTTTCCCTCTTTTTATCATGACTGGTTTCTGATACTTTGAAATCAGCTGTTGTTAAGGAAGTTGAGATAAACCTATTAGACCATCTAGGGGATGAACAGCATCAGATTTTGGGAAGAGGCCAGAGTCCAGGCTCACTGAATACCCACTTTGTACTCAATAATTTATTAAGACTGAGGGTATCACACAAAACACAACATAGTCCTTGTCTTGAAGGAGATTGTGCAGAAAGCAAAAAAGTAAATAAACAGATTGTTTCTTGTGTGCTAAGTTCTAGGAGGAAGTCATCTGGGAGCATATATTCTAAAAGGTAGGTAGCCAAATCTGGAAACATTTACAAACACATAAAATGTTTACTGATATGACATTGCTTTAAAAGGTATCACAGTAAGTTTCCAGATTTTATGATCAACTAATAGTCTTTCAATGGGATTTTAAGAAGGTGATAATAACTCAGCTAATACCTGAAGGACAAGTAAGCCAGAGGGGGCATAGAAGACTTGAAAATCTGCTAATAAATTGAATATAGCTGGAGTATTAATTGGGGTAGCTGTAGTTCAGGTAGGATAAGCAGTGAGGCTGAGCAGATGAGCCACAATCATGGGAAGTCCTTACATGCACAATTAATGAGTCTAGACTTTATTATAAGGGGTATAGCATTGGACTACTGAATTTCTTACACTTTTGAAAAACAACACTGGCTGAAAGATAATTGGGGACAAAGTGGGAATGGTCATTGGAGTAAACTGAGATGTCTGCTAGAAATATGTTTGGGAGGCTAATGTAGTAAACCAAGAACTAAAAAAGTAGGGATGGTTAGAAATGGACAGATATGAGAGATGTCAAGGAGGCTCCCTATTATCATTAAACTAATGATTTGATTTCCTCTGGAATAATGAAGAAGACTGACTTAAAACTATAGAATTATGCAAGAAATGATTTTATCTGTCTATCTATTTATTTATTTATTGTGCTTTGTGTGGGAATTTGTTTTACATTCAACAGTTCATACACATTTGATTTCATGGCACCAATTACCATCCCCAACCATGAAAAACTCTCCTTCTCTCCACTGTGTGACTACCCCCTCCTTGTGCCCTTCTTAACTATACATTCCTGTCTGTCCAGCTTTCCCTCCATGTGAATCCTGCGCCTCTGGTGTCTCATGGCTGATTGATCTAAGGGGTGCAACTCCCTACAGTAGATGGGTGGATCACCCTGGGATAGGTGTTCTGCATGTAGGTCTTTCTACTGTTGGGATGAGAGCCAATCCATGGAAGTGAGTCCATTTCTAGGCCTGAAGGATAACCTAGGGCCATAGTCTTGGGGGTTCCACCAGTCTCTCTCCAACCAGTAATTCTGGTCATTTTTGTGTTTTTGAATTTTGTTCCACACTTTTCCTCCCACTCTATCCAGGATCTCCAGTTTCATCCTTTTCTGAGTGGTTGGCACTGGTAGCCGGGCACCATCTGGTTCTTCTGGTCTGAGGGTCATGAAGGCTGATGTCCTCATGGTCCATCCTTTCCTTGGACTAATTGTTTCCAGATGCCCTTGATTTTCTTCACTCTTCTTTGCTTCAGATGAGACACCAATAGTTGCATCTCTACTCACCAACATAGGTTATAGGTTGTAGAACAAGATCTTTATGTACTATGTTGTGCCAATTGAGTATGATGTCCCCGAGACTACGGTCCCGAGTCCACAGGCCCAGTGATTTTCTCTCTCAAGGTGCTTGGTTGTCTGTGAGAAATTACTCCAACTCTGTCTTCTGTTGCTTCTGTAATGCATGTGGATAATTTTGTAGCACAAGTACATATGTAAAATTATCTTCAGCTAAATCTATCCTTGTGTAGGGTATATTCTTGTTCACCTACCCCCATCTGATCTTTTCATCTGTCTATGCATTTATTCATAGCCTGGTGTTTGGTGTTAGTGGTAATGCAGTATGGTGTATGTGATAACATTTGCCTCTGCTCTCTATATCTTATGCACACGTTTCAGTGTCCTTCCTTTCCCCAGTGTCATCATGCTGGTCACAGACTCTTTCCACACCGTCCC